AAGTTTAAGTCATAATTATGATCAATTTTCTGATAAATTTTGTCTTGCTTGGTCGTGTGTATCAACAAGCAAAGAGTCAGAAATTGACAATTGGCAGCAAATGCCAGGAAGGTTCGTAGAAAAAGTCTTTCGCATAATGTCTGTGCCAATAGAAGTATGTAGCACCTGCTTGGAAGGTTGCATTAAGTCTTTAATTATGATTCTTTAAAGTGACAAATTATTGTTTTGGCACTTCACCACTTTGTTTAAATTCCGCATTCAAACGGAATGCAGCATGCTCCGCCATGTTGACCAGGTCCTCGCTTCGTCGTCATGGAGTACAAAATAATCAGAATTTGGCCCTTGTGGAGCGGCAGAGAAAGTAATTGAGGAGACCTTCTATAGACAGACAGAGGCTTTGTAACATGAGTAATGTTATTCATATCATGTTTTTGTACCATATTTTCGTACCACCTGAGGTGACATCTGATGTGGACAGTCACTTCATTTAAAAAATTTGCAAAATCCAAGGAAAAGAAGGAGAAAAACTCCTCGTATACCATAATCATCATTTAATTAACTAGTTTTTCTTAATTATTAGTTTATTAAATAATGAACTAAATTTAAAAATCTGATTAATTCAAATGATGTGGCTGTTCACATCAAATGCCACATAAGGTGATATGAAAATGTAGTATAAAAACATGGTATGAATAGTATTACTCTATTTTTATCTCACATTTCTATACCATCTTAGGTGGCATTTGATGTGGACAGCCACATCAATTGAAAAATTTGCAAAACCCAAGGAAATGAAGGTGAAAGACTCCTCGTATACCACAATCATCATTTAATTAACTAGTTTTTCTTAATTATTAGTTTATTAAATAATGAATTAAATTTAAAAATATGAATAATTCAAATGATGTGGTTGTCTATATCAAATGCTACCTAAGGTGATATGAAAATGTGATACAAAAATATGGTATAAATAGCATTACTCTTGTAACATACATTTTTAAGAAGACAACGTTTAGGAAAATAACCATCGGTTCGCTTTCAAAATGGTTTGATGAAATTACTTGATTACAAAGAGGTTTGATTTATAGAAATTCAGGAAGTCAAACTTCTGAAAAGGCACGTATAACCTTTGCACGTTATATCCTTGGTTTATGGTTTAGCTTCTTGTAATTCAGAAAACTGTTTGCTCATGATAATTTTTAAGAAGTTGGTTGTATATGAAGAGAAATTTATATGAAAGAATATTTTTTATCTGCTTCTACATATTTGAGAAGATTCTTGATCACCCTAATTTATTTCCTCTTCTCTCTCTTCCCCTCTCCTCAGTCTTTCTCAGCAGCCGCCCCCGCTTGACCAAAACGCTCTCACCCACACCATCCTCTCCAATACCCACCACCACCACCGTCTCTCCTCCCTCCTATCCTCCCCCATACTCTTCTATCTCACCCTCCACCGCCTCAACTCACTCCCCCTCATCCACAAGACTCTCCTCATCGCCAACCACGCTCTCTCTCATCCTTCTTCCCTGTCGTTCGTGGTTGTTCACCAAATCCTCGCTGACAAATGCCCTGGGGAATAAGGGTCTACCGTTCACACCAATCCAAGCAATCAATTTTTGACTCGCAACCCTAAATTGGTCTACAACATTTGCATAAAGAAGGGTCTGCCGTTCCAGGACTCGTTTCGTAAGAACATGACTCGGCCTGGTGTTCCACTCGGGTATGCAGTGTGTAAGGGCGGTGTCGTGGTGGTGGTCAAGGTGTAAGGAGTCGGCGGAGGAGAAACAAAGGAGAGGGTGCGCTACTGGTGGAAGGTGCAAGGGTATTATGGGTAGAAATGTTTGATTCCAGAAAGAGGCTTCTTCCGGGAATTTAATTACCATCTCCATGTAGGTAATTGAATTCCAGAAGATTAAGGAATTCGATTCCAGATTTTAAGTGGGTCCCACTTACTTTTTCATTCCCTACATGTTAGTAAACTCCGGAATGTTTCGGAAGGAATGCGATTCCGTTTCTTTCCATTCCATTCCCCCTTTGGTAAACACGCCCTTAGTCTAGTGCTGATAATTTTGTCTTATTCTTATCATTGGTTGGAAAAATTCTTTCTGCATAACGCTTGTGGTTCTTCCATCGTTTATAGCACCTACTTGGTGATGAAATTGAGGTTCCACCATAAAATCAATTGACAATATGGGGAGTAGCCTAATACTATATAAGCACATGGCAAACTTTGTCTCTCATCGATGTAGGACAACTCTCAACATGCCCTCCGCACATGTGGCGGATTTTCAAGCCTACACGTGGATAACAACAGGGTGACATGGACCATAAAACCGATTGACAATATGGGGAGTAACCCAAGACCATATAAGCACATAACAAACTTTGTCTCTCATCAATGTGGGCAACTCTCAACACTTGGAAGGGTGCGTTAAGTCTTTAATCACAATTCTCTACAACGACAAATTATTGTTTTGGAAGTTTACCTCCAACTTCTTATTGGTTGACAGCGAATTTTTGATACGAATACCTTTCGTTAATGCAGCCGTCATCCTGACATGTGTTATTGAAGTTTGAGTTGAAATTTCATTTTATCTTGAGGGATATTCCCACATTTTTCTTACTTCTTACACATTTTTTTAATTTTCAGTCATCGAACCGAACGAATTGAATATCAAAGAACATAAATTATCAAAGAGTATGTGAAAAGTTAAAAAAAAAAAAAAGGTGTATAAATAGTAGAGGTGGGTTCGGTTTAAATCGGTTCAGTTTTTTGCCAAAACCGAAACCAAACCGAAATTTCGGTTCGGTTCATTTTTTTTTCGGTTTTTTTCGGTTCGGTTTTTTATCGGTTCGGTTTTTTCCGGTTCGGTTTCGGTTCGGTTTCGGTTTTTTGTTTTTTTTTTCTTTCAAAAATGAAAAACATTGAAATTTTAAATTTTAACATATCCAACACAATCATAACATAAGCATTCTAACTAGAATCAAAGACAATGAAAATAAACATTTAAAGTTGAACTAAAATCATCAATCAAGTCTTCCAAAGTCCAAACTAACAACCTCACAACGCAAAAATCGTACAAATGACTTAGAAAAGTTAAATTGTATGATGTTGTTCAAAGATCAAGGTTGTTTGCTTGTAACTGCATGTTGACAACTTGATTAGTAAAAGTAATGCGTGGGTGGATTTATTTAGTGTGTGTTGGATTCTTTTCCATCACAAATTACCCAAGTAATCTACCTGAAATAAATGTTTATGGATTCTGTTACATGTTATATGAGAGTAGATTTGGAAAAGAAAGCTGGGGCAGAAGTAGACAGTGCTATGGAGATGGATGTAGGTACTTCAGGATGAGGTTTGGTTCCGGAACCTTATATGGGGGGGGGGATAAATAATAGGTTAGGGTTTAGAGTTTTTATAGGCATTTTTTAAATATTTTGAGCTTAAAGTTTGACAACACATTGGGTTTAGCACATTTTAACTTACAAATTGGGTTTAGAAAATAATATCCAAAACAAATAATTAAATAAAAAATTTAATTTAATTAATTCGGTTCGGTTTTTTCAATTCGGTTCGGTTTTTTCGTTCGGTTCGGTTCGGTTTGGTTTTCGGTTTTTTTCGGTTTTCGGTTTCTTGAATCCACCCCTAATAAATAGCACATCCCTTGTCTTCTCGTCTCACATTGTTCAACAGTGGTGGTTCCGTATAGGATCCCAAATCCCAAACCAAAAATTTTCGGGACGGGAAATTGAAGACCAATTCCAAACCAGAATTTTGGTATCCCAATTTTCAGGATTCTCGAAAAGTTTTTGGTATTTCTTTTTTTTTTTTTTTTCTTTTTGGAAACTTGGTTTTTGGGTTTTGGGCTTTTAGGCTTTTGAGCATAAATTTGAGATTTTTCGGTTGTGAGCTAAAATTTGAGCATTTGACTTAAAATTTTGTTGCCAATTTCATATCAATTGAAATTTAGGTTGTTTACCTATCCAATTTGAAATTTCTTATTAATTGAAATACCAAATCATCTTACCAAGCCAAATTAACGTTTCAAATTTCTAAACTACTTAATTTTATACTTCTATTTCTAATATAGTTTACTTTCAAATTACTTAAATTCAACATTCAACATGCAACCAAAATAAATGTACATATATATTTTCGGTTCGGGATTCTCGAATCATTGAATATGTAATTGATAATTATATATATAATAAAAAATAGCCTTTAGCTCGTGCTCTAATATTAAATTTAATAATAATTATTTTAAATTCTGAATTTAATTTTTTTTATCTATTTGTTATTTCACCAAACTCATCTAAAAGTCTGAGAAGGTCGAAGAAAACGATAAGCCGCACACCCCTTCTGTTCGAACAGTCGCCTCCCAACTTCGTACCTGTTGGGAACAGATTTATAAATATTATACATACATGTATCTGCATCTCAATCAAAACACAGAAAAATCATTCTCCTACAAGTCTTACCAAAACCTATCATACTGAGATAATCACAAAGACATTCACTAGAAACCAAGTTTTCCGATGCTGGAATCTTGGTTTAGATCGTTAAATCTTAGTCAAGCAAATACCTTCCAACCTACAAGCACTAAGTAAGGGCGAAATTTTGTTTCAAATACATTGTGGTATGTAGGCCCCGATCCTTATTTCGCAAAACAATTTCAGTTTTGTTTCATTCGAATTGTATCAATACATATAGTTGCAATTCATTTGTTGATTAGCGTAGAGTTATATATATATATATATATATATATATATATGTGGTTGATTGTTAATTATTATCCAACATGTGCTACAAATTCACATTACAAAGTGAAATGCATCCTATCGAGCTGAAGAAATTCATCCTTTAAACTGAAATGGCAGGATCAAAACGGGTGAAGTGAAACTACTCGTTACTTATACTGTTATACAATGCTCATGATTCTTTCCACATCAAAGCAAATGTCGATACGGCTAGGGTTGTGGCAACGCGCGCTTCAGTTTCCGTTATTCCCATTTGGTTCGAATCTGGTGCGTGTGCTTGAATTCATATGTGAGTAGTACTTCCGAGTTTCCATTCGTTGACATTCGTTTCAATATAAACCTCTCTACCAATACATAACTACCAAATCGCTTCCACTCGCCACCACCCGTCACCTCAAACGCTTCCACTCTCTCCACCCTCACTTTCTTTTCACCCCCACCAATCCATCCAACTCTTTCTTGTTCCCATTTCATCCTCTCCACAACTTTCATGCTCAATCCCACTCTTGTTTCTCCTCCCGCACCATTGAAATAATTCTTGAACCACATGAACCTGTCTTTACCCACATTTTTTTCAGTCCAAAAAGCCTCCTTTCGGTCAACAAAAACCGCCTCTTTTTGAACGAAAGCATCCACAAACGCAACACCATTATATTTTCCTTCAGCGTTGTTATAAGCACTGTCGAAAATCTTTTCCCATCGTTGCTCAAGTATAATTTCATAGAACATACATTTTTTCATTTGGTCCTTCAACTTCACTCCTCCTACCCTAACAAACATGAAAGGACAATACCACTTACCAACACCCACAGCTGCAGAGAAATCATACGACAATGGAAAATCGAACTGCGGAAGGCTTGCCCGTAGAGAAGAGTTGATTCCTGAGGCTTCACTCAATTGGAAATGATGCGGCCCTCTCATTCTCGCATTCCACCCTTTTCTCCTCAAGAAGAGAGGAGGAAACCCCTCTTGATCAACAGACTTGGCAAAGAAACAATTGCTGCCCTTCTCCGTACGAACTATTTGAACTTGCTGGTTTATGTCGGACGGATCCAACGGTTTTGGCATAGCATCTGGAATAGATTTACCGCCGCAACAGCCAGTCTCAGCCACGTCTTCTTTTCTTGAATTTGTGCATGCTTCCCTGCAATTTAAACCAATGCTATATCAATTGTACATGGAAACTTTTCTATGTGACAGAAACACCGCCGCATGAAGTGAAGTATGAAGAACATGCATGGATATATATATATATGTATATGCATACCCCATTTGCTTCCCACTCCGAAGTATGACATGGTATCGATTGGAAGACAAGGGCTGATCAAGCACTGGAATGAAGGCAACAGCGTCTTCATCCGAGTCATATCCAACACCTATATCGTAGTTCTGAGGGAAAGGCAGGTCTCTGACCACGTCATCAGTGCCAACAGCGCATCCGCAGCATGTTACCTTAACCCGTTCTTCATCATGGAGTACAAGATAACCAGAATTTGGCCCCTCCGGTGGCCGTAGAGACAGGGACTGAGGAGACATTCGACAAGCAGACAGAGGCTTTGTCACATACATTAGGCCTTAAGGAAGACTGACTCACTTTCAATTTGATTTGATATGAAATTTACTTGATTACAAAGAGTTTTAATTTATAGGTAATGAAGTCAACCTTCAGAAGCATGCACTTATTCAGTTATTTGATTAGTTAATCTAATTACAAATTAGAAAATAATTCAGAAATTGCTGGCGTAGCTTCGAGTTTAATAAGTCATTATTATAATTCTCTCTTGATCTTATCTTCACCGGGAAGTCAGAAGTTGACAATTTGCAGCAAATGCCAGGAACATCTCTCAATTACCCTATGCTGGGAAAAATCTTTCAGCTTAATGTCTGGATTTCTTTTAATTGTTTAATTTGTAGCACCTGCTTGGAAGGGTTCATTGAATCTGCATTTATACTTCTTTACAATGACAAATTGTTACTATGGCAGTTCACCTTCAAGTTCTAGTTGATGAGTAATTTTCAATTTTTCATTGTGAACGTCACACACTTAGACAGTATACCACATGCATTTATTTATGAATATTTTAGTATGAGTTCATAACATATCAAGCTGAAGAAATACATACTTTAGTATATTAATTATATAATGATCAAGATTTTCGTCCAAATAGGAAATAATATTACTTCAAGCGATTAATTACATCCATCAAAAGCACATGACCATATGAAATTTTCAAGGGAAATTTTATTCAGACCCATTTATCCTCTTTCTACACCTAATTTAAAGTGTTTAATCTTGAAATTCCGAATCTGCCCAACAATTTTCTTTCTACACCTATAACGAAAAAGAACAAAAAAATAAATTATGAAATTCCAACACTAGAAAACCCTAAAACCCAGGCCATGCCATCACTCCAAACCCTAACCACCCCCAATTTCTACCCCTCCCCAACCCCCCACCGCCATCTTCTTATCACCCACAATGAAATCCCCAAAGATCTCAGCCATCAATGTCCCTTTCCCAACCTTTTACCGGCCACACAAGCTTCCATCCATTCTTTTCAACACAAACCTCTGTACCAAAACATAGCAACCAAATTTTATCCACTTACCCACCCCTCCAAACTCCTCTAACCTTTTCACTCTCACTTGCCTCTCATTCCCTCCAAACCTTCCAAACCTTTGTTGCTCCCACTTCATCCTCTCCACAATTGCCTAGTTCACCCTCACATTGTCTAAACCCATATACCACATAACCCCATTACCCACATACATCTCCTCATGCACAGCTTCCGCGTTCCCGCCAACAGCAACAGACTCGTTTTCAACGAAAACATCAACCACCACGGCATTGCCTTCCCTGTAATTACTCACATGCAAATATTTGTTCCCATCTTTGCTCAAGTGTCATCTCGAAAAACCTTGTCCTACTCATTTGATCTTTTGGTGTTCCCTCCTTAACAAACACGAAGGGGCAATACCACTTCCCCACAACCACCGGATTCGAGCTTGTAAGCGATAATGGGAAGTTGAAATCTGGAAGACGGGAGCGTAGCTAATTAAGTCGGAATGTTAGCATATATCTCGAAGGTTAAAAAATTCCATGGGAAGTTAAGGTTTCTTTTAAGCTTAATGTCTTTCTGTGCAAGGCCTGAGACTGAAGACATTATAATGGAAACACTCATTATTTATACACTGCTCATGATTCTGTCCAGAAACATTATAATTAATTAAAAGAACAATACTGCAATAATGTACCTAAAACAATGACTAGTGTATACCCGAAAACAGGACAAATCGGAAGTTTTTTGTCCCTAAATACGATGATCAGCGTGTCTGAAAACCATGACTCGATACCAAACTTCCCGTCCATTCATTTCAGTACATGTGGGTGTAGCAACCAAATTTTTGTCATTCCCATTTTCCCCTAATCTGGTGAGTGTGCTTGAAATCATATGCGAGTAGTCCTGCGGCGCTTCCAGTCGTAGACATTCTCTTCAATACAAACCTCTCTACCAGCACATAACAACTAAATCTCTTCCACCCGCCACCACCCTTTCCCCCAAACTCTTCCACTCTCTCCACCCTCACTTGCCTTTCATCCCCATCAACCCATCCAACTCTTTCTTGCTCCCATTTCATTCTTTCAAAAAATTTCATGCTCAATCCAACACTTGTTTCCCCTCCCACCCCATGAAAACTCTTAAACCACACGAACACATCACCCGCACCCTCATTTCTTTCATCCCAAACAGCCTCCTGTCCACCCACATAAACCACCTCTCTTTGAACAAAAGCATCCACAAACACAGCAGGATTCTTTTTTCCTTCGGCGTTCTCATTAACGCTGTCAAAAATCTTTTCCCATCTTTGCTCAAGTTTTATTTCATAGTACATGGAATATTTCATTTGGTCCTTCAACTTCACCCCTCCTTCCTTGACAAACATGAAATGACAATACCACTTGCCAACACACACAACTTCAGAGTAATCATGTGATAATGGAAAATCAAACCTGGGAAGGCTAGCTCGTAGCGAAGAGTTGAGTCCTGAGGCTTCACCCAATTGGTTACGATCCAGTGTGCTCATTCTCACGCTCCACCCTTTCCTCCTCAAGAAGTAAGGAGGAAAACCATCTGGATCAACGGACTTGGCAAAAAAACGACTGCTGCCCATCTCCTTGGGATGTATCCTAAATTGCTGATATATGTCTGACGGGTCCAATGGTTTTGGTTTAGCATTTGGTATACTTTTACCGCCGCAACAGCCAATATCCGTGTCCTCTTCCCTCGTATTTGTGCATGCTTCCCTGCAAATCAAATCAGTTCCGGTATTAATTGTACATCTAAATTTTTCTATGTGACAGTAATATCGCCACATTAAAAATCAATCATAATAAGGTTATGCTTGGGTGTATATATATGCATACCCTTTATGTCTCCCTCTTCGACGTATGACATGGTATTGATTGGATGACAAGGGTTGATTAAGCACCGGAATGAAGGCAACAGCATCGTCATCTGAGCCATATCCAACGGTTAGATCCTTGTTCTGAGGGAAAGGCAAACCTCTAACCACGTTGTCCTCGCATCCGCAACAGTTTATCTCGACTGATTCGTCGTCATGGAGTACAAGATAACCAGAATTTGGCCCCTCCGGGGGCGGTAGAGAAAGTAACTGAGGAGACCTTCTATACACAGACAGAGGCTTTGTAACATACATCTTTGTAAGCAAAGAAAACAAAGTCTAAGAAAAGAACTATTGGCTCGCTTTCAAATTGGTTTGATGAAATTACTTGATTACAAAGAGGTTTAATTTATAGAAATTCAGGAAGTCAAACTTCTGAGAAGGCGCCTGTAACCTTTGCACGTTATATCCTAGGTTTATGGCTTAGCTTCTTGTAATTCAGAAAACTGCTATTGCGAATATTTAAAAAGCTGGTGGTGTATAGAGAGCAACTTATTTAACACGTTTATATTAAAACATTTCATGTCATAAAAAACTTACATAAAACTTTATATCATTGGCACGAGATGTCACGGTAACACGAAGTATACTCATGTTATGAAAGTCTGTCTATTGACGTTTAAGCTATTATTAATTTTCTTGTGTGATTTTAGGAATTCGGATCCTCGCCGAATCCTCTTTGTGAGGATCCGGAGATTCGTCAATTATGTACATTCATCATACATTGTACGATCATAAATTATTTTAAATATTTTTATTTAAAAGTAAACACAAATAGTATTTGACAAAAATTGATTGTACGATATACGATAAACGATCACGATTTACGAATCTCCAGAATCCTTATCAAAATGATCCGGAAGGGATCCTATTAGTCTAGTGCTGATAATTACGTCGTAGTCTTATCTTGATTGGTCTTCGGTTGATACAAGCAAAGTGTTAGAAATTGACAATTTGCATCGAATGCACTTACATAGAATTTTGTATCATTGATATAAGATAATACAGTAACACGAAGTATACTTTTGTTATGTAATTCTGTCTATTGACGTTTAATCTATTATTTAATTTTCTAGTGTGTTTTTGGCGGTGGAGATTAGTCTAGTGCTGATAATTATGTCGTGGTCTTATCTTGATTGGTCTTCGGTTGATATAAGAAAAGCGAAGGAATTTGACAATTTGCATCAAATACCTGGAAGGTTCGTACATTTATTTCTCAGTCACCTTAAGTTGGAAAAGGCCTTTCGGCAAAACGCGTGTTTTCTAGTGTTTTTTTATTTTTTTAATCATCCGTGTCTTCGATTGTACGTCGCACCAGCTTGGAAGGGTGCATTAAGTCTAATTAATAGTTCTCTACGACGGCAAATTATTGGTTTGGAAGTTTACCTCAAACTTCTTGTTGACATCTAATTTTGATATGGCGACTTAATTTCAATGTGACGATCACGTTGAGAGGTGTTAAAACTACACATTATAACTGTTTTGGAAGCTTACCTCCAAAACTTCTTGTTGACATCTAATTGTGACTTTATCACATACACTTTCACAGAAATTCTGAATCAACACTCTCTTTTTTTTTTTTTTTTTAATTTAATTTAATTTAATTTTTATATTTTATGGAGAAATTTGATATATGTCTAGGAATAGTTTACTTTATTAAAATAGGCCCAATTCTTTGAATTTAATTATTTTTATTATCAATAGTTATCTTTTCAATGATAAGATGTATTATAAAAATCAAATTTCTTCCTAATTATCTCTTGGATTATTTCTTTTTATTTTATTTTTTTGTTATTTCTTGTTACCTTTTAGTTAGGTTTCATATCTTTCTTATAGGTGTATTATATTCATATATTTGTTACTTGAGTTAGGGTAGAATGTTTTGCAAATAAATTTATGTTAGTATATTAGTTTTTTTTTTGTTATAAGATATTAATTAGATTTTTTTGGAGTTGAAAATTGCATATTATTAGAAGATTTTAATTGATTTTTAATATTTTAAAAAATATAAAGTGAATGTAAAAAAAATAAAAACATGTAATTAGATAACTAGACTTACTTAAAAAAAATTAAGTTGTCAATTATGTAACTTAGCCAAACTCTTCATCTTCTTAGTGTAAAAATATCGATGTACTAAAAAAAAAAAAAAAACCCTTGTCTATTTGTTTGTAGGGAAAAAAGGAAAGGATTTCTTGTGCTTTATAAGTTGTCTTGGAGGGTAACGGACTTGTGGAAACTGACTTAGTCAATTGCTTGTTGCTCTAGTCGACTATTATTTTTAAATATTTTATTTGTGTTCAATGTTGTCAATTATACAAGAATTTTTTTACAATTCTTAGTCGATACGAAATCTCCATATGACATTGACATATTATATAAATTCTTGATTTTGAGCCATATGACGATGTAACAAAGTTCGCTTTGAACTAAGAATCCGTCTCATTTTTATGAAAAATTATTAAGTCCAACAATCGGATTGAATGGATTATAACTCACTCACAAAAAAAATGAAACCCTCTATATTTAAATACTATCTAACTTCATGTCAATACAAATTTCAATGTGATGGCCCTACAATTTTGTGAATGAATGGTTCGACTATCCAAAACATGGGGCATTGTAAACAGCATTGAGCAAAATTATGTAAACATTCCTCAAAGGGTGTTTCTTGGATAAATTGGGTTTGTGATTCACAAAAAAAATTTACAATTTCATAAATCAAATAGTCCCTCTAAAAGCATAACTGAATCCATAACCTAGAAAATGTTCACAAATCCCAAATTTGAAATTTTTTCTCGGTACAAAATCTGAAATTTTGTACACAAATAGCATAAATACAAAAAACACAGGACAAATTTTCATTTCCATTAGTCCAAATCTGATGAGTGTGCCTGACGTCATGGCTAAAAACCAAGCTCCCATCCATTTTCTTCAAAGAAAACCTCTCAACCAATACAAAAAACCCTAACTTCTTCCAGTCACCCAACCCCCCAAATTCCTCAACCCTCTCAACTCTCACTCCCCTTCTTCTCCCCCCACCCACCAACCCTCCCTTGCTCCCACTATAGCATGGGTTCATAACACATCAAGCTGAAGAAATACATCCTTTATTTTAAAAAGGGCAGATTACAAACACAGGTGAAATGAAACTACTCATATTACTTATACAATGATCAAGATTTTTGTCCAAAGAAAAAAAACATAATGGAAAGGATATTACTTCGAGCGATTAATTACATTCACTAAAAGCACATAATGAAATGAAATTTTCAATCACAAACCAAAGGGAGCAAAAATTTCATTCCCATGTGCTCCGAATATGATGTGTGTGTCTGAAATCGTAAGTTAGCACCAAGCTTCCATCCATTCTTTTCAGCACAAACCTCTCCACCAAAACATAGCAACCAAATTTTCTCCACTTATACACCCCTCCAAACTCCTCTACTTTTTTCACTCTTACTTGCCTCTCGTTCCCTCCAAACCATCCAAACCTTTGTTGCTCCCATTTCATCCTCTCCACAATTCTTAAGCTCAACCCCACATTGTCTAAACCCCTATACCACATAACCCCATTAGCCACATCCATCTCCTCATGCACAGCTTCCGCGTTCCCACCAACAGCAACAGACTCGTTTTGAACAAAAACATCAACCACCACGGCGTTGCCTTCGCTATAAATACCGTCACATGCGAATATTTGTTCCCATCTTTGCTCAAGTGTCATCTCGTAAAACCTTGTCCTACTCATTTGATCTTTAGGTGTTCCCTCCTTAACAAACATGAAGGGGCAATACCACTTCCCCACAACCACAGGATTCGAGCTTGTAAGTGATAATGGGAAGTTGAAATCTGGAAGACGGGCGCGTAGCTTAGCGTCTAGACCCAGCGCTTCACCTAAATGGAAGTCACGGGGAGTTGAGGTGCGTATTTCCCACCCTTTTCTTCCAAGAAATTTTGGAGGGTACCCGTCTGAAGCTTGGATTTGGCAACAAAACCCCCAAATTGATTGCATCTTCGTTTCTGCTGGATCTCATATTGCTGGTAAATGTTATTGGGATTGAACGGCTGTGACGGCACATCCTTTACATAAGTGCAGAAGCAGCAGGTTCCCAAGTTCTCATCTGTTGAACATGTGTAGGCTTGCCTGCATGGAAACCGAAATCAATTAAGTCAGCACCATGGACTAACAATGTATTTCAAGTTAGGTAACAAAAAAAAATTAATACTATTACTACGGGAATTGATATTGCCACTACAAAACATTAAGCTCAAATTGAGATTGCATACCCTTCAAGCTTTCCACGCGACTGGATCGCGTAGTAACGGTTGGAAGCCAAGGGCTGGTTAAGGACCGGAATGAAGGCGGTATAGAAATGAGAAACATGTTGGCTTTGTCCCGTCTGGGTAACATAACGAAGCTTTAGATTCTTGTTCTGAGGTAAAGGCATGTCAAGGAGCTCGTGGGATTTGCATAAACCAAAGCAACATGTAGTCTCTGCTTCTTCATCTTGGATGACCAAGATGCCAGAATTCGGACCCTCTGGCGGGGGTAATGAGAGATCCTCAGGAGACTTTTTGTACATCGACAGAGGCCTAGTGACATACATTTTTGCAGAAATTCTTATTCTCCACTCTCTGTGTTTTCTATTTGTTCTTAGGAATAAAGGAAAGGATTTCTTGTGCTTTACAAGTTGCCTTGTAGGGTAAGGGACTTGTAGAATTTGACTTAGCAAATTGTTTGTCGCGAATGTGGTTCTTGATAAGATCTGCCAATACGCAGACGTGTAACGCTCGCAGCCAAGGCTATCATGGATGGGTTGACAATGACTGTAAGGAATTCATGAATTTTCTTACACTTTATGGTCAATACGAAATTTCCCTATCACATATTATATAATTCTTGTTTTTGAATTTTTAAGCCACATGACGATGTAAGTTGGAACAAATTTGGCTTTGAACTAAGACTCAGTCTCATGTTTTGGTAAAAAATTTGTGTCCGACAATTAATTAAATAGACTGTCTAACCCACTTATAAAGAAAAGAAATTCTCTATGTTTAAATATCATATGGCTTCATGTAAGTACAAACTCCAATGTCAAGGACTCTTATGAATGAGTAGAATAATTCACTTGTCAGACACAAAATTTCTCTACTTTTCCCCATTAGATCATAAGTAAATTTACACTTTATGTGAACAATGGACATTGTAAACAGCATTGATCAGAATTATGTGAACATTCCTCAAAAGGTGTTTCTTGGATGAATTGGGTTTGTGATTCACAAAAAAAATTTACACTTTCATAAATAAAAAATAGTACCTCAAAAAGCATAACTGAATCCATAACCCTGAGGTTAGAACAACGCAAAAAAACCTAATCTGAAATTTTATACACAAATAGAATATATAAATATAAAAAGGATTAGGTGTAACTTTTATTTTTCGTTATCAATAAAATTTTCGTTGTGCAGTTAATGTTTAAAAACCAAGCTCCCATTTAGTCCAATGATGAGTGTGCCTGAAATCATGGCTAAAAACCAAGCTCCCATCCATTCTGGTCAAAGAAAACCTCTCAACCAATACAAAAAATCCTAACTTCTTCCACTCACCCAACCCCCCAAATTCCTCAACCCTCTCAACTCTCACTCTCCTTTCTTCTCCCCCCCACCCACCCAACCCTCCCTTGCTCCCACTTCATCCTCTCAAAAATTGCTAAACTCACCCTCACCCTAGTCTCTTGCCCAACATTGTTCAAACTCCTATACAAAACCACCCCATCATTATCCCCATTTTTCTCATCACACCCACCTTCCCTCCCTCCCACCATAACCGCTTCACTTTGTACAACAAAATCCACACCAATGGCGTTGCCTTCACCGTGTCGAAAACTATGATCCTTCACAAATACTTCTTCCCACCTCTGCTCTAGTGTCATCTCATAGTACATTGGTCTGTTCCTTATGTCCATCAACGTTTTCGGCGTCTCTTCCTTAACAAACATGAATGGACAGTACCACTTCCCTACAACCACATTCTTTAGTGGGAAATTGAAATCCGGAAGACAGGTGTGTAGGGCGGCATCTAGGCTCGTGCACCACCTAGTTCAAATCCGGGGGACGCTAAGCTTGTGAGTTTCCACTCTCTCCTCCACAATGCCTCCGGAGGGTACCCATCTTTGGACATTGATCTGGCCACAAAACCACCCGACACATTGATAATGTTTTTGTGAAGATTAATCTTGCATTGCTGATACATGTCCTTGGGATCAAAACGTTGCGGTAGTACATCGTTTGTGCATCTGTCGAAGTGGCATGTTTCCATGTCCATGGAATCCTCGTTTGCACTTGTGTACCCTTCCTTGAAAAACAAAATCATGCTACATGTAACAACCCTTGTTCGTTAGGTCAGTTAGCTAACGCAGTGTGTCGTCACATTGCAACCTCAGAATGTGGTCTTTTTAAAAACAAAATGTTATAAACCCCATATTGAAATTTACCATATATCAGTTGTACTCTCCATCTGCGCACAAGTTTGTATTTTTCTTCCCATAACTTAATTACATTAATTAGAATATCACTCGACTATAAAAACTTACCCTTTATGCTTCCCATATGGACCAAGAACTGGGATGAAGAAAACTCCGTGGAACTGAAGATCTCTGTTGGGATAAAACCAAGTTGCATAGTAAAGCTCAAGGCTCTTGTTCTGAGGGAAGGGCAGCTCCTTAATCAAATCGATATTCGATAACTCGAAACAGCATGTCGTTTCTTCATCTTTGACAACAAGAATGCTGGAGTTTGGACCCTCCGGCAGAGGCAGAGAGATCAGCCGGAGATTTTTTGTACATCGACAGAGGCCTTGTCACACACATTTTTGCAAAATAAACTCTTCACTACGTTTTTCTTACTTGTTCTTGAGAAGAAAAAAAAAAGGAAAGGATTTCTTGTGCTTTATAAGTTGTCTTGGATGGTAAACGACTTGTAGAATTTGACTTAGTCAATTGTTTGTTGCTCCAGTTGACTTTTAGGTGAGAGAATCGCCATTCTTGATAAGATATGCCAATATGTGGTTGTAAGTAAAAGCTCAGGCAGATGAGGATTCTTGGTGCGGCAGTCCGTATATGTCATGCAGACTCACAAGGGACCAATGTAGGATTGGGAAGACCAAAGACATGGGGTCTCGTTCTTTTGTTGAAATGGGTAGAAGTTTTTCCCTACTTCGGAACCCTTTTTTCTTGCGGCATCCTTATTTGGCAGTAGACTCAAACATGTGAGATCAGGTGAGTAAAGATGTGGAATCTCGCTCTTTCGTGAGGTGTGTCCAGTGTCCCACGAGTTATGTGGTTCGGAAGTTAGACTCGAGAGTTTTCTTAGAAGAGATTAAACAACAAAAGTTCAACGTCGACAAGACGAGAAAGTCTTTAGTAGAACAATTTGATCATCTACCTAATCCGTGTGCATTAAAAGTAGCATCTACTTAGAGTTAGATTGTACCTTAATATAGTGGGGGTCATTCTTTTGTAGGGTGTATCAGATGAGTTATGATGTCTACTAGACGAGAAAATCTAAGACAGACAATTCGACCATCCAGCCAATCCGCGTGTATTAAACGTTGCATCAACATAAGAGTAGTATTAATACCCTAGTATCGTCGGAGCCGTTCTTTTGTAAGACTCGTCCTGACTAGTTGGATGGCAAACAACTCTACCCAAGTTCTTCAACTACAAGACTCCGTTGTTGCTTCCAAAGCAAAACAATGGATCTTATGCAAGTGTGACCCAACATTCAACTTGGTAGGAGGACTAGTGACTGGTCCCTCTCTGATTATAGCAAGTCCTGGCTGCTTCCATTAGATAGTTGGAAAAAAAATCTCTTCTTTCTGTGGCTGTACGTTTATCTTGGGCCAACTTAAATGGAGAAAAAGAAAAGGGAACATGCTCTTTTTGGTGTCCCTGAAATTCCAAAGCTTATAACTTTAAACTTAATTAGTGACATTTCCTTCGTAAATCAAATGTATTATGCCGAAATTTACAAGACCACTGCTTTCTTTCCTTATTTTTATGTTCTGCAAATGCAAAGAACAAGGATAAAGCGTACGCATTGTCATGTTCGACTGGCCTAACCTATTTCTGCAATGTCTCATTTAGTATCAGCTACATCCTTTTAACATTTACCAACATCAACATAAATACAAAGAGGAAAATATTGGAAGGAGGCAGTAAATGTGTAACTAGTGACTAACTACAAATGAGGACTTGGAGGAAAAAAAAGACAGAACAAACATTACTTCTGTAAGCGCAGAAAAAACACAGTTAAGTTTTGAACATTAAATCTTCATCCTTCTTCCTACTACTTCCCCAGCTTGGAATTGGATGATGCCTGAAAATCCACCTCCAACCCTTCAAACTTTTGCTCCCCCTCTTTATCCCTCTCTCATTCACTGTCAATCTACATGAACCACCGTGTCTGAAAATACCAAACGAACCCCCATCGCATTCATCCCCCACAAACTCACTCCTTCTCATGCCCCCAAAAACAGTCTCTCCATCTGCAATGCTCCCCACCCTCAAACCCGAAAACTCCGGCTTTGAATCCGCCGCGAAATCGAGCTTCAAATCGATAAACCTCGATTCATCCATGCCGAAATCACTCTCTTTCAGCGAAAAAACGCGTTTCGTTGCACTGCTAAACCCTACAACATCTTCTTTCTTCTCACCATCAAAACCGCTTTTTCTCGGCTCTGCCTCACTAAATCCACTCCTTCTCCCTTCACTAAATCCACTCTTTCTTCCCTCACTAAACCCACTCTTTCTCCCCTCACTAAATCCGCTCTTTCTCCCGGAATCCAAAACCATTCCGGCAGTTGTAACGCTAGAGCTTCTCGCAGCAGAAATGGAGCTCCGGGCACCGGAAACCATCAAATGCTCGCCGCCATCCTCCGATCCGAAGAGGGCCCCGCCTCTGAAACTGCACAGAGACCTTGATCTCGAAACTCCCATGTGATCAACCAGCCACATCTCACTTTTCTCATCAAACCCACCAACACTCTTATTCCCACCATCTTTTTCCGATCGTTTCTTCCGAAAAAACCTCCCAAATCTCCAAAAATTACTTTTCTTGATCTCGACACAACTGCTGCTGCTTCGCCGGAGCACCACCACGTCCTCTTTCTCTTGGGTTTTGCTGGGTTTTTGTAAAGGCTCCTGCTTTTCGTTCTCGATCAGAAACGAGACTCTACCGACGCTGCCGACCTCCACAGTGGAGTTGCGGTTAGACGAGACGGCGGAGCAGGAGCAGGAGGAGAGGCGCTGCTCGCCGCAGTCGGAGCAAGCCAGCTGGAGCAGACGATCTTTCAGACAGAATGCGCATATCCCGACAGAAGACGAATTGGGGTGCCTTCGACACGGCATTTCAGACGAAGAGTAGTACTCCATGTCGATATTGTCGCGAGCTGCTTCTACAGCTTTGCCCCTCTCTTTCATGGCTTCTCCACCGCTTCAAAGAAGATAAATAAAGCTTCGACCTCTGAGAAGATAAAGCTTAAAAAAAAGGGTATGTGAGAAAAAAAAAAAAATTGATGTGATTTTGAAGAAAGATCGAATGCCAGCTCCAACAAGCGTTGCGGGACTTGAATTTGAAAGAATGGTGAGAAGGGTATTTTTTTGGGGGGGAAATTCAAGAAAATCAAGAGTGGCTGTGAGATTTCTGGAGTGACTGAATGGGAAATTGAATTGAAATGAATTGATGGATGGGAGGAGGAGGAGGCGTCAACTTTACGTTTTGCTTTCCAGAAAAACAGTGGGAGGGAAGAAAAGGAGTGATGCGAGAAAGCACTAAAGCCTCCTGCAGGCATTATTGTGTAGGGAAGTGAATGTTACAGCAAACTCGAGTAAAATCAGTGAAGTTATTTTTTCATAAATTTTTACTGTTATTGCGTGCATTTGTTAATTACGACAGATTTTTCAATATGTTCATAATAAATGATGATATGTCATATGTTATTAAGTAGATGAAAGTTTTTTTTCATATATTTCTCTATTTGTATAATATCGGGAGCTAGCTCGAATTCCAAAAATAAAATATTTCATGACCTCAGTTAGAAAGTTATCTATCTCACCTTGAGTTTCGACCTTGCGCATTCAACCCTTGAATAAGGCCTCAAGAAGGGCTGGGCATAGATGTGTATATATTTGGGATCAATACATGGTATATGTATAATATATGTTTCAGACATGCTGATCAATCTTTGATTAATTGCAGGTTAGGTCATCTCTAATCGAAGGATTCAAAGAACCAGAGAGCTGAAAATAGTCAAAAAACCGTCTCGAACCTAGGGTTAGGCCAAATGACTCGTGAGCCTCACAAAACAAAAAAAGACCAAAGGGCCAACTTGTTGGCCCAATCCAGCCAGACAGTCTCGGGTCGGGCTGGATTTTGAATGCAACGGTAACTAGCTGACGTTATACTGACATCAGCCAGCCGTTATATTTCAATTTTTTTTTACAATTTTAAAAAAAAATTAAAAATTCTATTTTTTTTCCATAACTTCATAAGCCATTAAGCAACATTAAATTACATTAAGTCACATGAAACAACATTAAAAATATTAAACAACATTAAATAATATTATACAACATAAAAAAACATTTAACAACATGAATTTAAATTATTGTAGTTTTTAAATTTAATTTGTAGTTTTTAAATTTAATTTGTTGTAGTTTTTAAATTTAATTTGTTGTAGTTTTTAAATTTAAATAATAAATTATGTTTGGCCTTTGGTTGGAATGATTTTTGTCACAGGGTTATGTTTGGTTTATGACCCTCTAGCCTCTCAGTTGGAGATGGTAAGAAATATGACCCTACAATGTTCATTAAAATATTAATTTCTTAGAGAACTATAAGGCTAAAAAGAGTCATTTGACCCTCATTCGGTTATAGATGATCTTAATTACCATCAGTGCTTTACCGGACCCACCAAAGCCACTGTTCCCTACACGACATAGATATACAGCCATGCTTCGCACTGCAAGTAAAGTTATTAGATCATAAGTCTAGATCCATCAAGCTTTACATCTGTTTTGTCAACTTTTTTTCTCTCAAGATTTTCATACCCCTCTCCTTTTTATTGGTGCAAGATTATTTGGTTTTCAATTAATTGATAAATTGTATTAGAGGATAGTGTCACATACCCCACGTTTATAGCGTTTATGCTTGCTCATTGCATTGATGCATTGTCTAGGTTTACTGACTTATGCTGGGTTTTTTGTTTATTATACTGACTCACTTACAAATTGCAGGGAGATGATTTTAACATACTCATCCTTGTTTTAATAATTAAATTAAATAAGTCAAACAATCAGACCACTTAGTACCGTAGTCTAGTATTATTCATTTTCATTTGTAAGTGAGAGGTCTTAGTTTCGATTCTCACCAAATGTAAATTTGAATTACATTATTGTTGGTTCATTGTAAGACTAAGCACACTCCTTCCCTCATAAATAACCTCGTTTTAAAAAAAGTCAAATGATCAGATTGAATAAATTAAATGAAAATAACGGCTAAAAATAAATTTAAAATGTATGAGATTGTGCCTGGTTAGCCCTCAAAGTCGCAAAGCTAAAACATTGATGATGATGACGACCACGATGGTTGCATCTGTCACATTGTGTGTTTAAAAAAAAAAATAACTTGTATGATACGAATTTGTTGTCAATGTAATATTCCGAGGTTAATAAAATAACTCTGGTTCTCAAGAATTTCTAGCTCCCTCATCTGGTTCTTCAACGTCTCCAAACCCTAGTTGTGGGCTGGGTCTGTGGCAACCTCTTTCCCCATCCTTCCTCTTCCTATGGTATGTCTCCTTACCTTCTATTGGGTGGCGCTTCCTTACCCCCTACTGGATGGTGCTTGTCCTGAGCGATGTCTCACTATGTTGAGCGTTGTCTCACCGTTGATTTCTTGTTTCGTTTTCCTCTTATTTTCTCAAATCTCCTCGCCCTCCCTCATTTGAGGAAAGGGGTTGCCATCGTCTCTTTATGTTTGTGTTGTTAGATCACAAACATTAAGATCAAAACTTGGTAGATCACCAACATAAATAGCTCTATGTATTGAGATTCGAGAGAGACTTGGTTAAGGTTGTCTTACTATGACAACTCTCAGATCAAACAGAACTAATATGTGATTGAATAATACGAAAATATAAAAATCTTATACTTTTATGAGAATTGTCTTGTGTGAGATTGTCAACAGCCCACCTAGCATAAATAGAAAAACTTATTTATGCTTAATTAGTGCCGCTTGCACGACAGATTATCGCAAGCACGAATCTAATTATGGAGAGGTTCAATAAAGTTGGTTAAGCTTCAATCTCCATCTGATTAACTGATCGAAAATGATTTGACATGGAACATGACTTAGCAACAAATCCCTCCCTTTTAGTCCCACCTAAATTTGAAGCACACAAGAAAAAAAAAAAAAAAAAAAAAAGGAAACAACAAATGTAAACAAATTCATTCGGTCAAATTGCTTGTTTTACTTTTGTTGAACTTAATCCTACACTTGAGTTAAAGAAAAATATACATGCTACTAAGATGTCAAAATAGACCCATATTCTAAACTAATAATGTGAAGTTAAACTTCAATCATACAATATCACGTAATTATTATTTTTTCGTTAAAAATAGAACCAGTTGACAGTTTCATTATGGAAATTCATTCTTTCGAAGGTCGAAAAGACTCATAAAGGCATCTCAGCCGCTCCCTATTCACATCTCGATTGATTGAATGTAGTTGCTACCCTTTCTAACCAAAACCAATAGCAGAACGAAAATGGAGGTGGAAATAATAGCAAAGATGGCACGCCCAAGGCATGCAGATCCCCGTGCAACGATTGGGACACAAACAATTATTTACCAAAATAATGTTTTGTTTAATTTAATTTAGTAAAACATCATGATGTTTTCCATTCTTCTGCTGCCTTGATTAATAATTTTGTTGTGCTGCAAATTAATGATGTTTTTAAATGTTTTGGGGATCATAAGATTGCTTTTGTTTTGAATATGCTTATCATATCATTAGGTACAAACTTTACCTGCGGATTTTTTCTATAAACATGCTTCTTGTCTGACATGCACTTTCTTTGTCATGTGCTTTGCCTAAGCTTTTCCTAATAATTCAATGCTTAGCTTCAACGGTTGTGACTTGAAACCAAAATATAAAAATCCCAAATTCGTTTAAGGATTTTTGTTTGGAACTACTTTTAAATGACTGCAAGCGTTTTTGTGAAAATATTTTTGAAAACAATCTTTAGTAAAAATGCAAGTAAGTGTTTTGAAACCAGAAACATTTTCTCTATAAAGAATTTCAATCATTTTAAAAATATTTCCAACTTTTGCCCTAAGACTACATATCTAATTCATCAAGAATCCATTATAAAGATAAATGTCCAAAAAATTATTATTATTATTTTTATAAAATCTCTTTAAATTATTAAATCAGTGCAATAAGGTAATGAGTGCATTGATCAAATCATTGGGTGCGCCACGCTCTCAGAACCCTTAAAATAAAAATAAAAAACTCACACCAAACCGGACCATCGGCATTTTTGGTACAAAGGCCCACCCCAGTCATTATAACAACATTAAACCAGGCCCAACACTTTGACTGCCCATTAAGCCCAATCTAAATCTCCTCTCCCGCTCTCAAATTTCTTCACTTTCTCTGAGCTCTCTCAGTCGGTGACCTCCATGATTCCTCTGCAAATCCACCACCTCACCCCACGTTTCCTCATTTCCCAAACTACCCCTCTCCACTCCGCTCTCTCCCCCACCTCTCAAGCTGTCAAATTTTCCCTCAAACCCTACCCCTTTTCGTTTTCCCCAATTTTGCTATCCAACCCCACCTGCAAATTTCTGAAAGCCGCAGGGAGCCAAACGTCGTCGCTTTCTAGAAATGAGGAAGAAAGCGCTGGAATCTCAACCGGGCTCGAAGACTTGTCGGCGGACGGCGTCGTTTATAAGAAGACATTAGCGTTGGTGGAGTGCTCCATGTTTGCTGCGCTCACTGGCTTGGTGTACTTCCTCAGCAATTCTCTCGCAATTGAGGTTTGTTAGGTTGAATTGAAATTGGGTTTTTGATAGTTCAGAGAAGAACCCAAGTTAACAGTTTTAATTTTGTAATGTATGATGCTTTTGTTAATGTTCTTGCTTATAAAGTAGCTTGCTTTACATATTTTGTTGGGATTTTTTTTCTTCTTAATTTTCAATTTTAACAGTATAGACACTTAGTTTTGCTGTTAGGATACTTCGCTTCAATCTTTGACTGTGTGCAGAGATATACAAAAACAAGTTTTGAACAATCCGATAGCTATTTTGGTTCTAACTTATAAGTCCTCAAGTTAATTTTTCTATTTTTTTGTTCCTGGTATGAATTTGATGTTTATAACTAGTGTACTCATGTCGGGTTTTGTATGAACTTTGCTGTGATTATCTGTGACGCTTTGCCTGCTAGTGGAGGAAGACCTAAAGGATAAGAACCTAAGAGGCATAGGGCTAGAGAGAGGTTATGCATTCTAGTATAGGTTATCTCAATAATGTTTGTTGTAGTGCAGAATTATTTTGGCTGCTTCTTCTCGCTGCCGATAGTGATCACCTCAATGAGATGGGGCATCGCCACTGGAAGAAAAACTATGGTTTGTGACCATCCATGACCTGCCATGTTTGAAGTGGTTTGGTGTAGTGTTTTGTGTTACATAATTGCAATGGTTTTCTGATCTTGCTAGGTTGCAACAACTATGCTGTTGTTAATCCTGTCTGGTCCGGTGAAAGCCTTAACCTATCTGGTGAGCATGCTGTCTGTCAAGTTGTTCTTGTTATTGTGAATTAGTATGTATAGCAATTTTCTAATTCTTCATGTTCGAACAAGTTGCATCATAGTATTTCATAATCTCTCCTTGCATAAAATAGCTGAGATATTGTCATAATTCTCAAACCATTCCAGATTAGTTGATCCATTCCAATTGATCAAGGTGGCCTGGTTTCACCTAAAATTTGGTGAATATCGAATGTTTGCACTTAACCATGCTAATTGATTATCTTGTGCAGCTTAAGCATGGTTTAGTTGGTTTCACAATGGGAAGTTTATGGAGGTATGAAGTGATTCAAATTAGTTTAAGCAGTGGCTAAGGATTACCTTTTTGACATCATAGTTTTATGGTGAGTCTACGTCGTGCTGCTTGGCAATTTTAACTTTTATTTTTTATCTTCTCAGGTCGGGAGCAAACTGGAGTCTTTCTATTTTCTTGTGCACAATTGTAGTGTTTCCTCCCTTGTGCACCGAATTCATGAAATCTATTGCAAGCAGTGGTTGTCTCTTAACCAGTTAAAAAGCTTTTACTGATGGTAACGGTTTTATTATATGTGCAGGTTCGATCACTGGGTCTTGTAGGGTATGTCCTGATATCGTCGTTCTTGATAAGTGAAAACATACTTGCTTTGGTAATTTACTATCCTTTTAAACCATCCTTTGATATTTGCTTTATGCAGTACCAGTATTTGAGTTAAATGGTTTTGTTCGTGGATCGGTTTGCTTGCAGATCACTATAAACATTCATGCTTCTCTAACATACATATTCACTGCATCGGGCATCTATACAGTCCCGTCAATGAAAGCAATTTATGTCTTATTTGGTACTCTGGTATATCTCTCTCTGCCTCTCTCACGCACACACTATCTTATATACTGAAGTATTAAGGCTTCATAGTTGTAACAGGTATTGATTAATTGCGGATCCTTCGTGTTCTTGCTACACCTATTATATTCGGTGTTCCTTATGAGGCTTGGGATGAAAGCATCATTAAGATTGCCAAGATGGCTGGAGAGGGCTATATAATTTGACTTCCCAGAGATTGAATAATTAACAACTCCATATTACCACATGTTATAGGTCGGGGGAAAAAACCAAAACCGCAACCGCAACCACAACGGTGGTTTCATTTCTTTAAGTGAGACCATGGCGAAGATTCAGTATCATGTATCATCACATTATTCATCATTGTTCATGACTACGTTCCTGTCATGTATACATAAAGCTACGTTTTGTATCGAAAACAGGCAAATGTCGATATCCCCTGTTTGCATTTTGTATCGACAAGAAACCTCCCTTGAGCTGCACCATTCTCGACTTTGCAAGCGCGTCTGAAACGAAAACTGAAAAACGCATAGAGAACTCAGGAAACGGATGCAATGTGAATATTTCTAAATTTCTTGTCGTGTCGTGTAGGAGAAAGAATGAGCACATAATATCCTGTTCTCACCTAAAACAAAAGGTTGTGATCTCATGAACGACTGATGTTGCAAAGTGAAGATAGAGTCGTTGCGTTAAGAAAAGGAGAAAATTCAGCCAAAAGACATGATATCGGCTAATGAAATTCGTAAGTAGACACTATATCCATAAAAATAGTAGCGTGTCATGTATTTCCAATACACGGACCTAAGATCTAGTTTGGGAGTGAGGTGCTTAAAAAAAAAGCACCCATGAAAAAAAGCTGTGAGAGTTTTAGGTGTTTGGTAAACTGAAAAAAAAAAGGCTTATTTTGGAAGCTGCTGTGAGAATAAGCTGAAATCAAAGGAAAAAACTGAAGCTGCTATTTGCAGCTTTGGAAAACTGGCTTTTTTTCAAAGCACATGGAGCTACAGTGCTTTTTTAATGAAAAGACTCACTATTAGACTGCTTTTTTTTCCAAAAACACTTTTACAAAAAAGTTTACTAAACACTTTGCTGATTTATTTCACAGCCGCTTATTCTCACAGCACAGCCGCTTATTCTCACAGCAGCTTTTTTTCAAAGCACAGCAAATACCAAACCAGCCCAGTAACATATTACTGTACCTGTACCTGTAAATGCACAGTAACCAAGAAGAACCAAGCTCTCATCGACCCAAGGAACTCTGCAAACACAGGAAGTTCAATACATGAGAAACGTCAAGACCATCAACAACACAAGAATAACATTTCCACTTGAAAGAGCTCGCAACGTAATATCAAATGCAACATACCCGTCGTTCAATGGAAGATACAACAGTGACTGCACAGATTAAAAAATAAGGAAAACTAATGAAAAGGGCTTGAAAATTTTGAGTTTTAATGATAAGAACAAAATAAAGGGTAAAGTGAATAGTACCATGATTGACTTTTTAGTGTAAAAATATGGTTTTTCGTTAAAGTGAACAGTACCAGGTGCTTTTCGTTAAAGTTCTTAAAAAATATTGGACCTAGTAATCTAATGTGGTCTTGAATTACAAAACAGAGCTTTCCTTCAACAACAATGGTAAAGCTGAGAAGAAACAACATGAAACACCCATTAAGCCAATCAAGTGTCTAGAATTAGAATAACATCAGAAAGATGGAAGCAATACCATTGCCAGGGCCAATAGCGTACTTGCTTTCCTTGCTTGAACAACCTTATGAAGGTTGGACACACTGCACGCATGCATAAACCAACATAAGGAAAAGTGTCGAATGGCCTTCAACGTACTAAAAGTTTACACATGAACTCTGAGCCTCTAACACATGAATATGCCAAGAGTAGTATGGATAACAATGAATTACAAACTTGAATGTGAGCGTTGGGAGAACAGCAAAAGCTATCATTAGAACCAACACAGCTTTGTATGTTGTGATTTCTGAAGTAAAAACAAGGAATTAAATTTCAGACCAACTGCGATGGCGAAGCAGCCAAAGAAATAGTCATCCACAATAAATATAACCGGTAATCAGAGCGCATAAATGTCAAGGAGACATTGAGCTCAATATAGATAGGTACTGCAAAATAAATGCAGAAAACATAGCATGCAGTCATGTCTCGCAAAATGTAGATTCCTACATGTGTTTGATGTAAATATCATTTGTACGGCATCAACTAAATTAGGCCCGGGCTTACTATTAAGAACGGGGACCCAACTCAGGAAAGGAAAAGACTTTCCAAGTTGTAAAGCCCACCAGAAACTGAAAATGTAAAGAGAGAAAATAAGAGTTCTTAGAGTAATGGTTTACAAGTAACTTCAAGCTGTGCATACAAGTAAAGAGTATCGTAAGGGATCGTCGATTCAATGTTTTACCAAGTAGCGTATCGTAAGGGATTTAGGTTCAAACGATCACCCTATGTTATGCAATTACCAAAACTGAACTCAAGGCATCTAATTTAACCTAAGAGTAGCATCAACAGTCCATTGGCCACTCGCTGCCGTGGGTGGCGGTCAGCCGTCCCGATTCGCCGGAAAATTCAACTATTTCCAAAAATTACCAAAATTTACAGGAATGAAGATCTCAATGAGTAGAGTAAGTTTCATACATGTGACCAAGGCCAATTTGGCCGAGAAACACCTCAATTTTACATAAATCTGTCGGAAACCCTAAAGAGAGTGTGCTTCGATTCGGCCTCCATGCTCACTCTGATGCCTCCACAAGTGTTTGGGCTTTGTTCCTGAGGTTAAGGGGAGTCTATGGGTGGTGTAATTGGTTGGGTTAACTTCAATTTTTACGGATTATCATCATACACCCACACGGCCCCCGTCGGTTTTTCCTTCGAAATACCACCAAATTCTTCTAATTTTTGGGATGAAAATGGAAGGGAGAGGGTTAGGGTAGTATTTCCAGGTAGTGATTCAACACAATTCACCGGGAATTGGCCGGAAAATGCACGGATTTGGCCTTGATACTCAGCCAGGTCGCACGGGTCAAGGAGGAGACCCAATTTCTCCCTCCTTCTCACCTTCCCTCCTTTCCCTCCTTTCTCTTCCTTTCTCTTCTCTTTGGTTGGTCAGTCCCCTCTCTTCCTCTCCTCTAATTGGGCAGCAGCCCTCATTTCTGCTCTCTCTCATTCCCCCCCTTTTTCTTTCTCTTATTCCTCCCCCAATTCTTACAAAAATTACTCTTAAAATAATGTAATGGTACTTAAAAATATATATAAAATAATAAATGGTAAAATCAATATCCCAATCCGCTTCTACGCAGCCGTATTGTCGAGTACTACAGAAATACGCTAAAGGAATATTTCATACGTCTCACTATACGTTGGTCAAGGTAAGTCAATACTCTCACCTCTCAGGGCATTTTTGTAAATTCACACCTTTAAAATTTATAAAATTCTAGAACTAGGTACATGTTGTCACACGCACCCCTCTCTATGGCCTTCATAATTATTCAGTAAATTGTGTCTACAACATTCTCCTCCCATCCTTATATATGGTTAAATTTTTAAGTCGAGATTATTAAAAAATGAATTTAAAATAATTCTTTTCTTAAATTATTTTAAAAATATATATATATTAGGTACACTATCCTAATTTAATTTTAAGAACATTTTAACTTAAAAATATTTAGATTTCAATAAATATTAAAAGAGATTTAGGATAATTCAGTGATGAGTTGTTGCTTCTTGCCCCGTTGTATTTTCAATACATTTGGGAGATGTGGGAACTTCGCACGTGGGTTGCTAATCAAAATTCTCTAAGCTAAAAAAATTAATATAAACTAGTCATATGCCCACATATTATACGTGTGTAATTAAATTTGTTTATTATTTGGAAGAAGCGGGGTTTGAAGTGGGACACGTGGGTTTAAAAAAAAATTCTTCTCAATTATTTAATTTTTAAATAGGGTGTGTTATGTTTATTTGGGTGTGAGGTTTTATGTAAAAGAAAAAGTAAAATTTGTGTTCCATGTAATTATCAAATTGTTCATGTTTTTATTTTTGTTTAGTGTTGATGAGAGGTTTGGAATAGTAGTATTATGAAGTTTTAGTTGACAAATAGGTTTTTATTAATAAGTAGTTTAAATAGGCTCTCTGTCACCCTAATTAAGATATCTCAAGATGACATGTTGATATCACATGTTACTAACAACATATGTAACACAAGCGTTTAAAATTCCATGGATATTCAAAATACAGAACACCTTCAAATTTTTAAGTCGTTAATTCTTGATCTTTGTGTTTTTGAGCGAATACTAGATCATATAATACTTCAAAGCACTACAAAATATTTCATACTGCATATAGCTTATGGGTCCATTTTATTGTTCACGCAATTGTAATTTGACCCTTTATTATTTTTTATTTATTTTTTAAAAAAGAACAAGTTTGTGGCAAAGCTAAGACAGTCCACTCTTTCAAAAGCAAAAAAATTCATAAAAGTATTTTAGTCTCCCATGATCACCATCATGTGATCATCAACACCAAAAATCGAACTCATAATTAACCATGTGAAATACGAGCCTAGAATTATCTCATAGTATTACATTGAATCGACTCGTGATTGCTACTCTATGAACATTTTTTCTCATAAAACGTAAGTGTTTTCATTAAAAGTATGTTTTACCTAAAAGTTATTCCTTCATTATAAAGCACTTTTATAACCAGAAACACTTGAATTTTTTTCTTCAAATGTAGCCATAAAGCACTTTTTATTGCCTGCAAATATCTAAGTCACTCCATAAGTAATCTCGACAACGTCACAAACTAATGTAATCAATGCATGCTTGACATACACAGAGAAACTCACACATCGAAAAATAATTTAACATCAAATTAGGAAATGAACCAAGATCTAAATCTTGATCACACCAACATAAGAAGTCACCACTGATCCAATCCACAAAATCCCATTGTGTTCTTCAACCTCACTAACAGACTGCAAAGCTTTACCACCCTCTCCATCCAAAACCTGCAAAACCCTACCTTGTTTGTCAAGTTTCACCCCCACAGGATCATTCACATTCAACAACTCCCCCGAGCTTTCATTATTATTTATCATATTCTGCACTTTGTTCTGCACTCCCTTAACTCCTCTTCCACTGTTGAGTCCAACCCAAAACTCTCCTTTTTTGGTTCTCTTGATGTTATCCGGAGGCCTCTGCAGCTGAGTAAAAAGTTCCAACACATGAGCTTTGGGGCCTCGGAGCCACAGCCTGTGGATTCTAAACTCGGCGGATTCGACGACGAGGACAAAGGACTTGTCGCCGCTCAGAGCCACGCCGTTTGCAAAACCCAGACCGTGGAGCAATACTTTCACTTTCTTTGTACGTGGGTCGTATTGTAGTAGCCTACCAGTATTGTCACCGGCTAGGACCGACTGAACCCATACCCTTTGACATTGACGACAAGAAAGTATAAGAAGGTAATTAATAGACCAAAACAAATTTGACAAATCTAACATATCTAACCAACAAGATTATATAAAGGTTAAAGTCCAAAACATTAATATGGGAGCAACAAATATCCTGTTAGTCTGTGAATTTACAATTCTTTAATCTTGACAAAAAAATTCTTCAATCACCTTTATTTTATTAAACATCGATTCTTTCTTTTAATTTTATTAAATCTAAAATAACCGAATATCTCGCCTACATAAGTAGAGCATCAAATTTTTTCCTTAAAATAAGAATAGGGTAAAAGACTGTTTACTACCCTCATGTTTCTTGGTTTTCAACATTTAGTACATCAAGTTTTTTTCGTCTCAGATTCATACCTAAAGTGTAAATTTTGGGACAGTCTCATACATCCGTTAGTCAAATTGTTAAGTTTTCCGTTAACTATGACGTGGCGCACTGACTGGGCGCCACGTGTCATCCACGTTTTTTTTCTTTCCTTTCTTTTCTTTTCTTCTTTCTTCTTCTTCTTCTTCTTCCTCCGACTGCAACTTTCTTCTTTTTTTTTCTTCCTCCTTCCTTCCCTTTCTTCCCCTTCTTCCTTCTTCTTCCTTCTCATTCTCCTTCTTCTTCCTCCGAATATGGGGAAGCTTTTTTTTTCTTCTTCTTCTTCTTCCTCCGAATTCTTTTTTTTTTTTTTCTTCTTCCTTCTTCTTCTTCTTCCTCCGAATCTGCCCAGATTCAGTTTTTTTTTTCTTCCTCCTTCTTCTCCTTCTTCCTTCCCCTTCTTCTCCTTCTTCCTTCCCCTTCTTCGTTCTTCTTCTTCTTCCTCCGAATCTGGGGGAAGATGAATTTTTTTTTTTTTGAGGAAGAAGAAGAAGAAGAAGGAGGAAGAAGGGGAAGGAAGAAGGAGGAAGAAGGGGAAGGAAGAAGGAGAAGGAGGAAGAAAAAAAAAAAAAAAACTTCCCCAGATTTCAGAGGAAGAAGAAGAAGAAAGAGAAGGAAGAAGGAGGAAAAAAAGAAAGGAAAAAAAAAAAACAAACTTCCCCAGATTTTGGAGGAAGAAGAAGAAGAAGGAGAAGGAAGAAGAAGGAAGAAGGGGAAGGAAGGAGGAAGGAAGAAGGAGAAGGAGGAAGAAAAAAAAAAGTTGCGGTCTGAGGAAGAAGAAGAAGAAGAAGGAAGAAGAAAAGAAAAGAAAGAAAGAAAAATGTGGAATAACACATGGCGCCCAGTCAGTGCGCCACGTCACAGTTAACGGGAGACTTAACAGTTTGACTAACGGATGTATGAGACTGTCCCAAAATTTACACTTTAGGTATGAATCTGAGACGAAAAAAACTTAATGTACTAAATATTGAAAACCACAAAACATAAGGGTAGTAAACAGTTTTTTACCCATAAGAATATGTCAACAAAATGTCACTTATGAACTCAATAAACGCTCTAATTTGAGTGAATCACATACATGTCATGTCAGCCTATCTCTTCTCAAACATATTTTGTTCTTTACTTTTGGCATCACAACCTGCTTGGACGCACTATCAACTCGGCTTGTGTAATCGAGACCGTTGAGTTAACAGGGGTCTAGATCATTGAATGCGAGAGTTTTAAGATAATTTATACGTGAGAGATTTTAAGATAATTTTTAATAATTGTTGAGGAATAATATTGTGATTTTCAATTGTAATAGGTAAATCTTTAAAAAGTATTAAATTATCGTGACTTTTTCTTATATATGCGAGATAAATGGAATTTGCAAACTATATCTCCAATTTAAAAGCAGTCAATTCAAATTGATCTGGGCCATTTGGCACGTGAGCGTGTGGGTTGGAACAGTTGGAGCCTGGCTGGAGTGGTTTTGTTTCCACATGTACGTGGGTACAGTGCTTATCTTTCAAAAAAGCTGAAAGATAGGTTTGTTCCCTCTTGGCTTTAATGTGATAAGGATATGAAGAGTGTTGTTCAAAAAAAAAAGAAAAAAAAAAGAAAAGAAGGATACGACGAGTGATTGGTGGGATAATAATAATATCATGAATGCATGCATGCATGCATGAGATAATGGGATAATGCATGGAGTGCATGTATACGGGGGATGTGAACCGAATGAGATATTTTTCTCTTTTTTTTTTTTTGGGGGGGGGGGGGGTGGTCATGTCTTCAAGTACTAAACTTCGCGCTGCACGAACCCTTCTCACATTGTAAGAATAGCACAACCCTACTTCAAAGTTTGAATTAACATCAGTACTTCAAGCTCTTCAAGTTCGGTTGAATATTCTATCCATGTCTCAGCTAGCGAGGAGTCTTTGATTCTTTCGTTGAACAAAGACATTTCATTCAGCTAAGTGTTGTATGATTCGTTATTCCATTTCATTTCAGGGTTTGGCATTCTGACGGTTGAATGACTTACCATCAAGACATTTATCTCTTTCGAGTACATGTGTTCTTACATTTTAATGCCGATTCGGTCCACCTATATTTTTACAAATATAGTTGAGGCGGCCAAACCTAGTGCAGAAGATCCTGAACTTCGCATTAACTAGCAACCTTGTTTCCAGGTTTTAGAACCCAAGGTCGGGACGTGTTCCTCCCTCAGCCATGACCGCTCGAGCACAGAAGTCAGTAGCGCATTTTACATCACCACCACATCCATTTTACTCGCTGATCGAGCTCAGTTGTGAGTTGGCACGCCCGCATTCAAAATGACCTAATTAGCTATTAATTATTTGGTTTGCGCGCCATGTAGGCTTAGTAATTTTTAGGATCAACACAACCTTGTTTTGTGATGGGATTAATTATTTAGGTATATAATCAAAAATTTAGACTTAAACCTAAAATCTAAGCTGTCGATTAAACAGTGATTATACTTCTTAAGTAATCAATCATATCAATAATTGTGATCAAAAGTGAAAATACTTGAATAAAAATGGGATTTTACTGACGTGCCTGTGTTTTTTTTTTTAAATCAAAAGAACTCGTGCAGTCAGCAAAGGAAAATGAAGGATGAGTTAGAAAATGATGTACCTTCTTTGGAACACAGTGCTTGTGTCTGTGAAATAAACGATTCCTGTTTCTTCATCAATATCCAAAGAGTTTACAAAAAGGAAGGGGACTCCTCCTATAGAATTGGCAAGAACCTCCGCCTTACCACCATTAGGCCCCGTCTTCATCAGCCCAAAGTAGGCATCTGCAAAGTAGAGATCACAGGTTTTAGGGTGGAACATCATTCCCAGTGGCCTCCCACACATTGGTTCGTTCGTCACGTTGGTTGAACCATCACATAGTTTCCTTGCCCTGGTTTATACAAGATGATAAAATAAATTATTTTGATTTAAGAAGAAGATTCAAACTTGAATTTAAGCGAATAAGTTTTGTCAGTTGACTTAAACCACACTACGGCCTACTTTTGGTTTAACAACAAAGTGAATGTGGAGACTCGGCCTTTGATTGTTATTTCTAAAAACATTAGAAGTCAACTTTGCTTAGCACCCTAAAACAAAAACCAAAAGGTCAACTTTCTGGAGTTGGCCTCACGATTTTACAACTCGAGTGGTGGGTAGGTAAGCACAACCCAAAAACTCCAACCTACCACTGGAATTACATTCCCTTATCCTTGGACCAAAAGAAGGAACAACAGAAATCTAAGAACTACAAACTGCAGAGATTTTATTGGAAGGATCGTTGATTTACTAATGCTTTCAAACTAAATATATATCAACCTATTTTTCATTTGCAACGAAAAAAAGTGAGCTCAACTAACGTTCTTATATATTAGTAGTCATATTATATATGTTGCAAAAACAATCAAAGTTAGTTTTTGTATGTGTTAGGGTGTGTGTGTGTGATGTATTTTGGGTCTCTAAGACTCAGGCTAGTTAGTTAGTTTTGTTCTTCTGGTTGGGTTTTGTGGGAAGTTGGTGGGCGGAAACCCAACAAGAAGAACTAAAGTGATTGATATAGCACTAGTCTGGAGACCCTACATACACGTTTCATCAAAGAAGATAAACAAAGAATAATGAAGGGAGATCTTGCCTGTTTGGGGAGGTGAAGGCGAACTCCGTCCAACCCAGGTGAGGTCCTTGCCATTTGAGGATCGTACCATCCGAAACCCCAACGTAGGGTCCATTTCCACGGCAGTCAAAGGCAATGCTTTCAGGGCCAACAACCCTAGCCAGCTCTATCTCACGGTAGTTTCCGAGGTTGACGGACTTACAAGAAGCTGGTTTGGATGTTAGAATGGCGTCAGGAGCTATGACAGTTAGGAGCAAAAACAACAAAAGAAATGAAGGTGGTCTCATGGCTTATGGCTGCTGAAATTATGCAGATTAATCTGACTTTCTCTGTCTGTGGTAGAGGAGAGGAGAGTATTTATAATACAACTTAGCAAAGAAAAATAATTCATATTAATTAATTTATGTATGTATGTACGTACATACGTACGTATGCAGGTATGTATGTATAGTCTATTCACTTCAAAAAAAAATTATCTACACTAACGGGAAGGAGATGGGCTTAACCTCACAATGAGCTAACAATAATGTCGTTCAAATTCACCTTTGGCAAGAATCGAACTTAAGACCTCGCACTTACAAGTGAATAGGAATACCACTAGGCCGTAATACTAAGTGACTAGTTTATTCACTTGCCTTTCTGTATTTTGACTCACTGTTGCCTTTCCTATGTTAACTGATCACTTGCCTTTGCGACAATACTCCTGTATCCCAACTACTTACCATTTCTGGATCGAGGTAATTAACAATTGATCTAATTATGTTCTAATCAACAAATTAATAAGAGAAAAACGCACACTGCTTTACGACTATAACTTCATATGAAATATGAATTTAAAACATATTGTGAATGAAAGATCAGCTGGTCAATAGCACAAGTTTTTTAATGAAAGATTAGCTGATCAATGGCACAAGTTTCCAAGCAAAAATTAAGTGGACTACCAAGTGATAAGGGTAATGCTAGGAAAACTAAATTTGTAGGCAAAATTTTAGAAATTAAAGGACACGAAAGTTAATGATTGGTTTATTACTTAACCGTTGATAAACATGTTTATTCCTATTTGTGACACATCATTTCATTTGTAAATTTTATCTTCAAATTTAATCTCCCTAACATTAGTCATTTGATAATGTAAAAGAATGAAGCTAATTAAATCGGAGTCGAAGGCACCATGATGTCCGCGATAAAGGGGAATACCACATGTTAGCTAGAATATACATGAGTTCTGTCGTGTACATGGGTGTTCAAAGGGCAAGTCTTTTTTCATTTTTTTTTTTTTTTGGGTGAAGTTCAAGGGTTAAGTCTTTAGAAAATATTGTGCGGAAAGCGAAAACATGAGGTGACAAAGTATATAGAGAATCTTACTTTTAAAAGAGGTAATGCTTGTCTTTTTTCTTTTCTAATAAGAGAGGTAATGCTCTAGAGACTAAATTTACGAATAAAATGATGTGGTACCAATAAGAATTAACACGTTTATCAACGTCTAAGTAATAAACCGATCATCAACTTCCATGTCCTTTATTTCAAGAATTTTGTTTATAAATTTAGTATATCTAGCATTACCTCTTTTAAGAGAGTCCCAACGAAAGATTAATTGATAAATGGCACAACTTTTCAAGCCAATTAAGTGGATTAACATGTGAATTTTGAAGGCACATAAAATGGGGCTGCGGAGTGATGAGAAGCTTATACATTCCAATGCTGGAAACCCCTTTCTTTTTGCAATGCTGCAAACCTCACCGAACTCTAATTAAGCCTTAATAATTTAAATTAGTTACACACAACTGATTAATATAGAGCTGTTGGGAGTCCTAAAAACAATAAAGGCTGAAGATCTTCCAGCTATATTCACTAAATGCTTATACGATTTGTCACAAAATACTTGCACAACTTTACATTAGGAACTTGCAGATCATTGAGTAAATAGCGTAATCAAGTGAACTCACATATGTGAAAAAATTTCATCTAAAGGAAACTTAGCCGAAGTTTTGGAGGAATAGGCTTCAAATTTCAACTCGCTCGATCGAGTTTCAAATCTTGGATATGTTCATGAATACAATCAATTACAAGATAGAATCTCTTGTATGGTCGTCTATGGACATGTGCATGCTCTTTCTTAAAGGTAAGGGCCTCAACTATTGAGCATTGCTTAAAATATTAGTATCCGTGAAAATATTGACATACAAATTTGTAGAAATATTATCGGATATATCGAATATTGATATTAGTTGCTTTCGATGGAATTTCCAATTGAAATAATGGAAATTTAAAGTGAAAATTTAGGTGATCTCAAACAATGGTTTGGACGAAATATAAAAGTTTATTTGATGTTTAACCGAAATGTAAAAAATATCGAAAAAAACTATCAATTTTTTCCCAAACTTAAGAGTTTCTCTAATATGAAGTGAAGTTTAGACTTCACCCCACATCTCTTTCCATATTTTTTCTGTATTTTCGAATATTTTCACGGATATACAAATTGATAGCAAATGCAAAAAGGGTTCAGCCCAACCAAAATAACACAAGTTTTTGAATGAAAGATTAGCCGATCAATGGCACAAGTTTTCAAGCCAAAATTAAGCGGACTAAAATGTGAAGTTGATCATGTTAAAGGATGAAGCTAATTAAACCGGAGTTGAAGGCACCATGATTACTTTGTCCGCAATAGAGGGGTATACCACATGTTAGAGTCGTGAAGTTATCACCACTAAATGTATATGCGAAAGTTAGTTTTAAAGGTATATGAGATTGGGCTACGGAGTTGATGACAAACTTTTACATTCCAACGCACACACCCACCCTTTCCTATTCGTGTCGTTATGGCTGTTATTTCAACGCTTGAAACCTCATTTAAGGATAATCTTTTAAAAGCGAGACTTTTCATTGACTCTAATCAAACCTCATATTTTGGGCATAATTCTACGGACTAACATTATAAAACATTGTACAAAACGCACAAGGTGTCAAAGAGTTTATGAAGAATCTCACTTTGAGAGTGTCTCTTAGCATTTCTCACCTAATAATTCAAACTAATTGATTAATATAGAGCTGCAGGAGTCCTACAAACAATCAAGGCTGAAGCTCTTCCAACTATATGCAATAAATCCTCCTCAAGTTGCTAAATCATTCTCAATCTTGTTCCCTTGACTTTCTAATCACAACCAATTTCTGGGTGCTATGTTCGAAGACCGTGTTGGTTGCTATGGAGAGCTGCTTGATTGTCACAAATACTTGCAGAACTTTATATTAGGACCTAGCTGATCACTGGCTAAATAGCGTAATCAAGTGAGCTCGCAAATGAAAAAAATACATTGAAACGTGTTGTGCTAGGATAGCACCAAACCTTTTAGAACCAACTCAAACTAACCCACAGGAAATTTATCAAATAAAAATGCAAGAACAAAATATTAAAGACACCAAGATTTTAACGAGGTTCCTCAACAGTCAGTGTAACTGGAGTACGTCCTCGGAGCAGTAGGAGCTCACCCAATAATCCACTATCAACCAAATGGGAGTTTACAAAGTGTTGGCAATCTCACAACCCAAATAACCCAATACACCCAATAACTCTCACACACCACATAAACAAATAGAGAAAGAAATATAATGAATAATTTCTTCTCTATACATGTAGCTCAAAGCTATTACAACAATAATTATGATGGATGATTGCTAACAAAAAAGAAGAGCACATTCTTCTTCTTTTCAACAAAGGGTTGCTGCACCCTTTCTATTTTCTGATGCTCTGCAGCTTGCACTCCTTTTCTCTGCAGCTCTCTTCTCTCTTCTCTCTTCTGCTCTAATCTGAAAATTGAGCTCTCCTTTTCTTCTCCTCTACCGAAACAAAACAATGAATTATTATTCAAAACAAGCCATCACTTTCGGCTAATAAAAAACCACAAAAGAAGAAAAACATCATCATGATGCCTCCTCATCATGATGTCTTTATAATTTTATAACCAAAAGTTTTTTCTTTTCCTTTTTTTAATAGCCGAAAGTTGTTTGTTTGGCCATAATTCAACAATCTCCACCTTGGCCAAATTCCGAAAACACCATAATAAGCCAACCAACACAATCAACACAAAAATCACTCCCAAACACTAGCAAGAGAACAACTCATGCCGAGCCAAATGCTCCAAAACTCCTACTGCTCAACGCCTTCTTTATATAGGCAAAATGTGAGCCAAGTTCAAACAGTGAACAAACTTGGCTACACCAACAACCTTAGTCAACATATCAGCGGGGTTGTCTTTAGTTGGAATCTTCTGGAGAATGATTTCCCCTTCACCAACAATTTCACGAACAAAGTGATAACGCACATCTATGTGCTTGGTCCTCGCATGATGAACCTGATACTTAGCCAAATAAATGGCACTCTGACTATCACAATGTACCTCCACCTGCTTCTGATCAACCCCCAAATCTCTAATCAGCTCATGTATCCAAATGGCCTCCTTTATAGCTTCAGCAACTGCCATATATTCAGCCTCTGTAGTAGACAAGGCAACAGACGACTGCAAAATGGACCTCCAACAAACTGGTCCTTTAGCCATAGTAAACACATAGCCTGTAGTAGACTTCCTTCCATCCAGATCACCTGCATAATCTGAATCAACATAACCAACTGCAAAATGACCAATACCAGAGTCATCTCTCTCAAAGCATAAACCAACATCTCGAGTACCATGGAGATATCTCAATATCCACTTAGCTGCTTGCCAGTGCTCTTTACCTGGATTATGCATATATCGACTCACCATGCCAACTGCATGAGCAATATCCGGTCTAGAGCATACCATTGCATACATCAAACTACCAACCAAATTTGCATATGGTATATTTTTCATTTGCAGCTTCTCTTTATCATTTTTAGGACATTGTAGAGAACTCAATTTAAAATGAGGAGCCAAAGGGGTACTAACCGGTTTGGTTGAATCATGAACTCCAAACTTCCGAATCAACTTCTCAAGGTATTGTCTTTGATTCAAACTGACCAAACCCTTCTTTCTATCTCTAGTGATCTCCATGCCAAGGATCTTCTTTGCTTCACCAAGATCCTTCATCTCAAACTCATTCTTCATTTGCTTCTTCAATTTTTCAATCTCTTCAACATTTTTTGAGGCAATCAACATATCATCAACATATATCAACAAATAAATGAAAGACCCATCTTGCAACTTCTTGAAGTACACACAATGATCATATTGACTTCTAGAATAATTTTGGCCTCTCATAAATTTATCAAACCTCAAATACCATTGCCTTGGAGATTGCTTCAAGCCATAAAGTGATTTCTTCAATTTGCAAAACAAATTTTCCTTCCCTTTCACTATATACCC